ATAAGTTTAAGTAAAGGTTTTGGATACAAAGTTGACTTTTGATAAATTTGTCTTCAACTTAATGCTTCAAATAGAAGGTCGTGCAATCTGCTACGATGTTTGTACCCGACTTCTAAAACTCACCCAAGAATATGCCACTTAATTTTCAATGTAATCCAATTACGACATACTTTGTGATACTGATTCAATTATATGAGGAGTCGCTTTTTTCATATTCCGAAGCATAAAAAATGTGAGATGAAAAAAGCGTGCTCGCCTCGCAAGAAGTACTGCTCATTTTCGTATTACTAGCTAATGAATGCGAAATAAATTGTCAACTTTCACATTATCAGTTCAAATGCATTTTCTGCAATGTAAATCCTTTTCTTATGCGAAACAATTCAATAACAATGAATGAAAAGAGGACAAAATGAAAGCATGACGAGAAAATCCGTAATGTGAAACATTGAAAATGCATGAATTTGTTGACATGACAACAAACTAATCTGAAAAACAATCTAAATCAAATGATATCGGATTGGATGTTGTCTTCAATTTCATCATGTTATTGTAATCTCTTGAACCAAAATGTCAGCATCCAAGAATTACGAGCAAAATATCCATTTCCTCTTTGGAGAATTACTAAAAAAAGGATGGCTAAGATGATGCATTTGAACGATTCCAAGAAATAAAATGGTTGGTGGAAAAAAAGTAGTGGACGAAGAAATTGAATTGAAATCCAAAATGAAAAATCGACCAAAAAGATGAAAAATATACGGAAGATGATCGGAAAAATTCGGTGGAACATATTTCGAAGCGTAATATCGAAGTGAACGATTTCGACATTCTTATTGATATGCCAGCCGAACAGCAAATAACAACAATAGCCGCCGATCCATAACAAGGGGCATATTACTTATAAGATTTTTTTCTCAATTGACGAACGATTTTCAAGCAATTTATGCCACAAATTCTTCGCAGTGAAGAAAATGGGTGAAATATCATTTTGCGGCTGAAAATTACCGAAATATTTCATAATCAAAAAAAAAAAATCTTCCATCGAATTTACTTCAATAGATCGCTTTTGATAAGAAGAGTTCAAGATGAAGAAAAATCAAGATAAAAAATTGTGAAATTTTTTTGACTACTAGTTAGTCGTCTATTTTAGGACGTTTTGACTGGATTTTTGTGCGTCTAGGGGCTTTTTACTCTTTTTCATATATGTGATTTGTACGGATAAACGCGCATAGATTGTGTGCCACAGTGAAGTGTGTCGAATTTTGCACATAGTCACGAATATTACGCATAGAAGCGAATACGCGTGCACATAATGACGCCACGATGCGATTTAAGACGCATCAACACAATGTCAACATTCTGTTGTATCGTTAAGTTTCGTTCAAACAATATTTGACATCAACAATTTCTGTCTTTAATATTTATCAAATCTCTTGCTAATGAGATTGTTCTTAATTGATGAAAATTGAATTTAAATATAACACAAAATTAAAATATAATAGCAAAGAATAAGAATGAAAACGAAAATCAAAATGTTATATTATACAAATATTGAAGTAAAACCGCCGATAGTTTTGGTAGATATAAAAATCGTTGAAAAAATAAGTGCGACGATTCATTATACTTGGAAATAGCATCTGGATTATAAATAATAAAAAATCCATATGTACAAATGATTGAAGTTAACAAAAATGATCAGCAAAAAATGTGAGCCGAAATAAGTACAAATAAAACACTTGCAGTCAAGTATTTCTTGAATTTTTACATGAAAAAAGTCGTTGCACTTTGAATTCAAAATAGTCGATATTGTGGCGTGTGACCAATCAGAGAAGGAAACATTTTAGTAGGATTCATGCGAAATTATTCGAAGTATGAATGGTCTATATGCAGTATTCGGACATCGAATGTGTGCACTTCTAACGAATAGGCACCGCATAATACGCATAGTACGAAGAAATCGCCACATACTATAAGTTGAAGCGCATATTCTTCGCATAAAACGAATTTTTTTCGAGTTAAATGCCCCTAGTTGTACGTACTGTGATTGGAATTCCAATATATCACACAAAATAGCTCACTACTCAATGGAGCAGCGGACTTGTCGGCATACTCGTGGATTCAGCAT